TGATATTTCGTGATTTTTTGTCAGACCCCCCTCCTTCCCCTAAAAACCTCACGTGATTAATGGAAACAAAATTCTTCCGTTCGGTTAATGATGGTTAATTAAATTTTTGTATATGTAACAAATTTATAAGAACTTCAATATAAAGCATGCAAAATTCGATTTTTTTAGAGATTTGAATATTTCAAAAAGATTTGAAAATAATTACAAGTATATGCACAACCATCGATATATAATAAGTGTTGCGCCCTAAGGCAGGTTCATGGTGTGTGAGCATCACAATCCAACGATTCCCTTTCATTCCTTTGTTTATTGTTATTATTACTCACATTTCCAAACTTTTGCTTCCATGCTTCCTGAACTTGTGCCTCGGCTTTCAGTTAGCTGTATTTTCTCTTCTCGCGTAATCACCAATAGTCTGCAAACTTATTTTTTCTATTTTTTTCAATCCTTCTATTTCACATTCGACGACGTCGTGCAGCAGACACACTTTTTTGCAATATGGGTCCGATCCAGTTTTCTTTCCTTTTCACGGTGGCGCTCAGTAGAGTTCATTCTTCTTCCACTTCCCTCAAAACTCATTTTCTCTTGAGTCCTTCTATTGTACCTTCGATGACATCGTGCTGCAGACACTCTTCTTGCAACATGGCTCCAAACCGGTTTCCTTTTCTTTCCACGGTCGTGCTTAGTAGAGTTCTTTCTTCTGCCACTTTCCTTAGCTCTTCTTCATTTGTTATTTTATATTGGAAGGAGGAAAATTATCGAACAAAGACTTTTGTCTTAAATGTTGTGTTTTGAACGGAAACTGGTACGTCTAATCCATAGCTAATCCTTGAATATTATATATAAAGCCTATGGCAAGTGTACTTTACCAAAAATCCTTACGAGTGGTGTAAGACATTGGCACCGAGTGGTGTAAGACGATTGGAACCGAGAAGTCGTGAAAGATCTGATCGTCCATCAACGTCTTCAATTGATTAAAACATCGCTGATGTTGGAAAACCGCTATTTAGACTCAATAAAGTTAGTTTTCTTACAAATTTTTACAATTTATAATTTACAAATTGTGCATTTGGGCAGGCTTTGCTGTTCAACACATTCCACAAGTGTTTGACTTTCTTCTCATAAAGTCCATATTGTGAACGATTTTTTGGCCAAAAACTCATAAAATATCATGGGGCCACCACACCACATTTACTAGATCTATCCTCCTGCAATTTATTTCTTGTCACAAAACTTAAATTGCCACTTGTTAGACACCGCTTTGGGTCGATAGATGCCACTAAGGAGAAATCGCCAAAGAAGCTGAAGGAGATCTTTATTAAGGCTTTAAAAAGGTCCTTTGACGATTGGATTAATTGTTGGCATGAAGTTGTTACTCCGAATAAGGTCCATTAGGAGGCAAAAAATGCAATGATTCAGTAATTATTTTGAGTTTTATGCAACAATTCCTGATACTTAGTTGACAGTATGTATGTCTTTGTCTTTTTAAATTAGTCATTGTCATTGCTTCGGCCTACATGCAACATTTGTGCCCGAACATACCGCAATCCGATGTGATTATTTGAATCACAAATTGTTTGAATTATTATTACCGATTCTTACAAATTCCCATTTTAGTATAGTACTACTATTTTACCAAAAACATACTTTCTATTACCATTACCTCACAGGTCGCACACTGGCATATTTTGTCACTATTTGGAAGGTTAAAATGTATAAACAATAGTTTTTACTTCGACATACGCGTGTTATATTCCACTAGTGAGTTCTGCAACTATTTTATTAATTTTAATGTAATGAAATATTTTATTTTAAAATATTTTTATTGTAGAAATCTTTCAGACAGATATATAGTTCATTCTTGACCAGTCAAGAGTGAAGTAAAATAATGCAGATATGTACACCAGACGTATACAACCATTCTGTGTACTCTATAATTCATTGAAACCTATTATATTATAAGATTTTTTTTGAAAAATAAATAGTTTAAGCTTCATACAAAAACTAAAAAATATGGATTAAAATTAATAAAATCTACATTAATTCACATTGAATATATAAAAAATTATCATTGATCAATTTAAAGGCCTCTGGTCCGATATATGTTCAGTTCAAATAATTACCAAATTCAACGGCCATCCGAATTAAAATATTAATTCAGAATTTTTCGTATTCAATTTTGTTTAGTTTATATTTGTCTATGTGCTCCATGGATCATGGATCTACATTTATAAAACTTTCAATAAAGCAAATATTGCTGCTACAAATTTTGTATGAGCCTAGTAGTATTATTTACAATTATACAAAAAAATTAGTGTTCGCTTAACTGGAGTTTAGACTAAATAAGTCAAAAAGCCAAAAAAGACTTGAATTGGATTTTACCATGTTTTTCATAGAAAGTGTTTAAAACTTCCAGTTTGATTTTATTGACAATAATATATGGACAAACAAATATTGTTAATATAAATTATATAATATTGAACAAGTAGCCTTTGGGGTTTTATTGTTTTTATATTACCTCATTGTCTATAGCATTTAAACAACACATCCTGACACACTTGAAATAAAGTAATATTGTTTTTGATTTTCTAGAAATTGTTTAGAAATACTTTACTTAGCGAATCTGAGAAAAATTTGAACATAAACAATGCTATTTTTAATTTTTAATTAAGAAAATTTCAGAACTTTTTTGGTCCTTTAATAAAAGGTCATAAGAACAAAAACGAATTAATTAATTCAAACTTTACTTAACAAATACCAAATTAGAACAAATTAGAACAAATTAGTCCAAATACGATTCTATTTTAAAACTAGAAAAATTTCAGTTTGTTTCTGTTCTATTAAAAAATTATGGATAAGAAAAAACCTTTTATTTTCATGAGTCTTTTACCGATTGATTTCGAATTTACGCACAGTGCAGCATTATTCAAAATTAAAAAAACGTTATGAGTTTTTAATTTTTAATATTCGCATATGTATATACACAGATGTAATAAATAGATAAAAGCTTAATTTTAATTATGTGGTATATGCATGTCCAATGTGCGTGCGTGTGTGAGTGATGTATACATTTCGTTAAAAAAATAAAACAAAATGTCTCTACATTCTAAATTTCAAATTATTAGTATCATTTGTTAACAAAATTTCTTAATCCATTCAAAAACCATTATAAAATTTTATTTAAGCATGAAACTTATCACACCACAAATAAAATTATTGCATTAGTTCTTTTATTACAAAATATGATTGCATGACTACAAAAATCTATAGCTACTAACACGTGTTTTGAATGGCTGTTATGAATCACGAAAAGAGATTTTATAACAGAATCTTTTTTTAAATAAAAATTAACAAACTCTATATAAAATGTTCGGAAACCTATAAAGATATTTACATTTGTCTTACAGTAACAGTTTAAAATAACTTTTAGTGAATTCTTGTCAGTGAAATCTGTGGCATCTCACTGTAATCACTTATTTCTAACAATACACCTTTTGAACGTTACATAATATTATATAGATATAAGAAGACACAATCTGATGTGTCTGGACTAGATATCACATGTCATTTGCCATTTTAAGACGCTCTATAATTCAGTTTACTTCAAATCAGCTTACATCTGACTGTAATTAGTTAATTTTGCATAGTTTTGGTAATAATGACTGTTTGGCTAGCATTAATAAAAATATGTATTACCTTCATAAAATACATATTGAAAAAAAAAACAGCAAACTATTGATCTGGCATACCTCATTTCAAATCATCTCACAACTGCAAAAATACTTGACTCACAGAAAAACGTCATCAAGCAATCAAAAATCAAAAATGTTAAAAAAAACTTATTCATTTATAGATGATAGAATCAATTTTGAAATTAGAATAATTTTTCAGCAAATAAAAAATTGAGTCAGATATGACTCCAGGAAATCAATCTGGTAATTCGAAGGAAATTGATATCGATATGATATTATTAAACAAGGAGGTCTCACACTGATCAAATTTCGTAATCTTAATTTCAAATTTGAAAACGTGCAGTATCATGATAAGATTCCTGAAAACGTCTTTTATATAATATTATGTAATGTGATTAGTTTGGTAACTCTATATGGATTTAAATCTTTTCTGCCATCACGAATAAATCTGGTGACTATAAACACGCTCTCCCATTACATTCCACTTATTAGCTTAAGTATAGGGTTCCAAAGTTAATATCTAGTCATAATATGACACATATATTTACTAAAATTACAATATAAACTTCATATATCTGATTGGTGTGAATAGTCACGTGAATAATCCAGTAATATTTGGTCTTTAAATATATTACTCTACTCGGCGCACAAGTAGTCTAAGGATTTTTATATTAGAATACTTTATAATATTAATATATAATTATTCTTTCATACTATATACATACATATTAGAAGCGGTGTTACACAAACACCTGAATCAAAAATATCATTTTTAGATCCGCGGTTTTGCAAGATTTTCCAAAAATACAGCCCAAACAGCATTGAAAAGTAGTCAATTTGAGCAGAATTTGATATACTTTGAACTCATGTAAGGGCCATAAATAATAATAATAATGTATATATATATATATTAATTTATTTATATATTCATTCAAGCCCTCATCATATAATGAAATACATTATACAAAGCTCACGTCAATTTACATCTGACCCTTACAAATGTATTTTAGTTAATAATAGTGCATAATGAGTTATTAAACATATTTCTATTTTTTTACTGATAGTATAATAAATATCTGTTTGTTTTTTTGGCTCATTAAAAAACTTGCACACCGCGCAACCCACTATTTTATTTTTGATATAAATTCCTTCTAAAATATCTCAATTAACCGCAATTTCAAATAAAGAACTGTAAATGTATTCTGTTGAAAATGTAAGTTCAGTAAACTTGTTGATATAAAAATCACTTTTCTCTAAACATGAATTACCTATATTCCTGTTGAAAATTTTGACTTTTAATCTTAAGTTTGCATTACTACTTTCTCTTCATATATTACTGTAAAAAATAATTGTTCTTCTATTTTGGCAAGTTAATGTGTATGCTAAAATCAGATAACTCAAATTTAGAGATCAGCTTTTTTATTGCAATATCACAATATGTTAAAACTAGATTCTACTCTTTTTTAAACAAACATAAAAAATGCAAAATGTATAAATTGAAAATATCTGTGGACTAAATTGATTTTAAATACTGTTTTTATAAACTTATTAGGCTGGAGGTGCTGCTGTTCCATCCACTTGTTTAAGATAGGCCTTATCATCAAAGATTTTGACCTCACCTCCTCCAGGCTTGTGTTTGACGTTATCCAAAGAACCAATTTTACTCTGGGCCTTGAATTCCAATTTTTGGGTTTCAATCTGAAGCACGTAAAAGTGCATTTTTAGATTTGGCAAATGATGATGAAATATTATGCGCCGGTAAAGAAAATATTTGTTCAACAATAAGTATAAATGATTGACGAAAGAATGACGACGCTACTTGATGAAAGGTTAATGAAATAGTGGAATTCGTAAAAAAAGTCTGATATTGAAAGCAATGAAAACACGATGATCAGATCACCATTAAACGCAAGACATTTGTTTAAATTTGACTTATCAAAATTTTGGTTAGTAAGTTAGCTTAGTTGAGAGTCGCGCTGACATACTATAATTAGAAAATGAAATTTATTTGTTAAAAGTAATGCAGCGTTTATTTATTTTGACCAATTTGTGGTTATGTTAGATGATAAGAGAATTTCGTAAAGCCAGTATAAAATGCATCAGATGTATAAGAATATTTAAAATATTAAGCATTACAGTAAATGGCTGAAAAAATAGTTTTTACACAAAAAAGTATCATTAGCCTTGTCTGTGTCATCAATCCATCACATATAAGAAAATTCATATAAATGATCACCTTGCTGAAATAACAATCAAAATCTGGCTGATATATATTATCGTAATACATAATGACCATCTTGCATTAAAATGATTACAAACAATCAATATATAAAATATTATAAAAATTAATAAAGACTCTAATAAAAACCTTTTTAACATTTATGAAAAAATTATGTCAATATGTATATATCAACATCAAGTTTTCTAAATCTACTTCAAATGCAATGTCCAAAAACATACATGCATTTTTAAAATCATTAGTAAATTTTTGAAGATATTGAACTAAGTTAATTTAAATGCAAAAAACTTACATGATGATTATCCTCCGAACCATGCTGCTAATGCAAACATAACATAAATCAATCAAGCATAAAAATAAATATATTCTATGAAGTTTTCTCACACACTTTAAACGAAATATAAATTAATATTTGACTCCATAGCGAAATAAATATCGATTAATATTCGATGGCAGTCTAATAAATTGGCGAATCAATATAACACGTCATATGGTGTTATAAATTAATGAAAAGAATGTCACAAATGAGTTTTGACATAGAAGCATTCCGAAATTAGGCATGATCAAATTAAATCGTCGATTGTATGAAGTATTACATATTAAAATTATCGTAGACTTTTAAAGTTTATAATCAAAGATATCCAATCTTGTAGTAACTACCTTGAAAAGTTTCGTTCCTATAATTTGTATTTTTTAACACTATCTGAAATATAAAATTGGTAACCAAATGTTATCTCGATAAAATATAATGAATTTACCAAATAATAAAATTAATTAAATCGATGTATATAGATTTGAAATCAAATCTTCTTTCAGTTTTATATTTTGCTATATATGTATATTAGGGTAGTTTTTAATATGGGCAGGTCCTTAATATGGGCATTTTCGAATTTCCTTGCTCTCAAGGGCTCAAATGGTTCCAAATTAATAAAAAACAATTCCCTGAAAGTTTTAGCTCTTAATATTGTCTTTTAGATAGTGCGCAATTCAATCAAAGTTTTGTATAGAAATAGCATGAAAAAAATTTCAAAAATTTTGCAGAGCGTCGAATTTTCAATAAAAAATTACACGATATTTCACTTTTAATTCATTTGTCGCTAAGTTAAACCTAAATTTTTTTTTTTAATTTTCAAAATTTTTTCCATGATATTTCCTTACGAAGTTTGATTGAATTGCGCACTATCTAAAAGTTAATATTAGGAGCTAAAACATTCAGATAATTATTTTTTATCAATTTAGAACCATTTGAGCTCTTGGGAGCAAGAAAATTCGAAAATGTCCATATTAAGGACCACCCTAATGTATATATGTAATATACACCGATTGCGATTATTTATTCAGTATTGTCATAATTTTATCAGCATTTATAAATGTTCTATCATCATAAAGCTTGAAGTTATTGGTTTACATACCAGTATACTTTGTAATTTGTATATTTATTGATAGACTAGCATAAATGTTCGACGGTAGATAAATATATCTAGGACATTCCAAAGATCAGATATCCTTGACTAAATCGTATCTGGTGTACAATGTCGAATGTAAATGATACAGCTCTCATGAGTTATATTATGACAAATGAACATGATATTAAATAATTAAATGTAATTGCAATATATTAAAGATTAAGTAAAGATTGAGGCAACGTAAATGCTGTTTTCCTTCCACGTTGCATGCGCTGCAAACATTTGTCAAAACATTATCATGCTCTTAATTTTAGTTCTAGTAGCTACCTTTAAATTAATTATCATGCCGAGTTAGAGATGACTCATATCTATTCTAGCTACATTCACTAAAAATTAATTTCTTTCAGCACAAATTATTATAGTTATCGGTCAACTAAAAATTGAAAATGAGTCACAACACCTATTATGAGTCTAAAATATGAGAAATCGATCATTAAAAATTGAAGAGAATATGACATTCATTAACTGTTTTAGCATCGTAAACAAGGGCACTATAATGAAAATATTTAACTTGATATTTTATAATCAAAGGTAATTTTTTTCGTTTAATTTGGTTAAAAAAATAATAGGTAAAGCGGGGCTTGAAGGTTCGCTGGCAAAAAGGTCCATCACCGATATCTCAGAAACAAGTAACACTAGGAAATTTTTGACAACAATATTTAAAAGTTGAAGGCAAAAGATGTTCAAGCACTCATCACCTTTTCTTAATGGTTTCTAATTATTATTTTCTTAATGGTTTCTAATTAGTTTCTTAATTCTTAAGACATCGCTATCAGGAGATAAACGATATTGTTCGAAAATTTATAACAAAAGTATTTGCTTTCATTGTTAGTTTTTTTGGTTATGAGCACTGTTGTTTAGTTTACAAGACCTGAATATAATTTTTAAGAATACGTTGTTTAATTGGTTTATATGATATGTTGTAATATTTAAGTTAGATTCAACAGTTTTATATATGGAACCTCTATAAAAGCTTACACGTGTGTAGGGTAAAAAGGACTAACTGAACCTTCACCCTGTCAAAGGTATAAACAATAAAAATAGTGAATATAAAAATAAATTAAGTTAAAAAACAAGCTCACAAAAAATAATTCAAATAAATAGTTTTTTCAACTCTAAAGGTGAATATCTCTGTCAAAATACTAGATCAAGGTTATTTGCAGTATGTACAGAACCTCTGTACAAAGTGTATGTATGAAAGTATTGCATCGGTTGAATGATAAAGATATTATTTCGTCTTTAGATATTATTTCGTCAAATCTTTTTAAAATTAAAAATAAAACAATGGATCTGTTAGCTTCCAAGCTGCGTCACAATACCCCCCTATAGGGTAAAAGAGGACGAAAAACAAATTTTAGAAAAACAGTAAAAATTCACATTTCTATGATTTGTCTCATTTGATTTAGACGGCATTTACTTAAAGTCAAATTGGACCTTTGTGCCCCGCCCTACCCTATTGTATTCCAATAACTCTCGTGCTTAAGTTACGAAGTATGAGTAAATTTTATTTATTAAGACCCGGTATATACTTACGAAACATACTAAAACACGAAACAAATTATGTATTACCAACATGTAATTATTTACACACATTTTGACAAAAATATTAGCGAAAGATATGTTTTAGTAATATTTTGAAAACAGTAAACTTAATATTCAAATGACGTCTGACTGAAATCAAGTAATATTGGCAAGAATAGTTATTAACAAAGACTGTCATCAAAATGTTGATTTACGACTTAAATTTGATTTATGACTCATGATAATATTTACATATAATATATATATTAAAACCTCGGTTAAGATGCTAAATTACAGTCAAATTCATAAAAATTTCAAATTTATTAAAATTGTAAAAAATATTAAAAAGCAAAAAACTAGAAAAAAAGTGACATAAATATTAATTTAAACATACCTTAACTTCTCCACCACCAGGTGCGTGCTTAATATTATCTTTAGATGCAATTTTTGGTTTTGCTTTTTCTTTGAAATCCAACTTTTGTGTTCCTATTTTTTTGTCCCCGCCTCCAGGTTTGTGGCTTGCATTTTCCAGGGAACCGATTTTGGAGCGGGCGCTCCATTGGAGCTTTGTCTGCGTAATCTATTATCAAAATGAATTATTACTTTACTGTACATAAAATTTAATTTTTAGACAAGGCTGTAGTAAAAATCTATAAAAAAAGAAACTGCATCACTCATAATTTTTACAAACCAAATAAAAAATGCTATTTTCAAGATTTTTGCCAAAATTCAAATCATTCAAAATATCTCGAAAATGTAAGTTTCAGATTTACAAATAATAATAATAATAAGAAAGGACGACAAAATAAAAAAAAGTTGTCTGGATTGAGTGTGCGACATATGTTTTCCAATGCTGAACACAAATCTAGAGTCAAAATTGTATTGCCAATTTTCATCTTTACTGAGTTTCCATCTTTACTGAGTTTATTTTTGTAAAATCCAGCAGAAATCTGAAATATTTTCAAAAAACTGCAAACATGTTTGCAGATTACTCGGGAGTAATAGAAATGAATATATGTATTTGCATATTGCTGCTGGATTCGACGAAAAGAAACTCAACAAACTTGAAAACAGCAATGCAGAAATGCGTTTCCCCGGTTATTCTAACAATAAGAAAAGTGGGCCAGGAAACGACAGAACTCATAAAATTTTAAATAACATGCAGAAGAATGACTAGATCGGAGATCATATCATTTTTTATTATAACCTTCAATTTTGACTTTAACTTTATATATATAACTAAAAATATATTGTCGCACAGCAAATACAGACCATTTATTACCATTTATTTATTTTGAGGACCAGTGTAATTTAAGCAAATTCTTATTATTTTATAAGCATCAACAAATTCAATTTAATTGTGCATAGGAATTAATTATATTTTTCCACATTACCGATATAATAGGGTCAAGTTTTGTGTTATTTGATAAAGAAAATTGATTGCGAGATATTTATTCGTAGCAAATTACGATAAAAAAACACATAATATATTGTCAATGAACGTGAGATAATGTTTTTGTTGTGTCTTCTTGGTTCTATTTGCTAAAGATTAGACAGTGGGAAAGCAGTTTGTTTTTATATTTTCACGCTGCTCGTGTTACAAATTATATAACATTCATTCTTATCTTTTCAGAGGAATTATCATTAAATACTCAACGCTTTCTTTTGTTTATTTTTTAATTCAAATCTATCATTAACAGAAAAAATATGGAAAATATAATATCACAAACAATTTTGTAAAATGGTTGTTAGCTTCAAGTTTAATTTTAGTCTCTAGGTTATCATTAAGTCTCAAACTTGTCAATTAACATCAATTCCAATGAAAGGAATTCTAATTACACTGACTTGCAAGAGTACAAATTGAGTTTCATTTCATGCTTCCACTGTCATTCATTACCTTTTTATCTCCGCCACCTGGGACATAAGTTTCATTCTTCGCCGCAATTCTAGGTGTGGCTTTGAATTCGATTTTGCGATTTTCGATTTTTACGTTTCCTCCGCCCGGCTTGTAGCTCGCATTGTCCAAAGATCCGATCTTTGATCGCACGGTCTTCAGATTGGGAGAAGGAGCCGATCCAACCTGCACTTTGTTCATCGGCACTTCTGCACAATTGGACATAGTTCACAGTATTTTAATTTTTGCACAATAATCCACAATAAATAGAAGTATAACTTATTTTTAGAGGTTTATCAGAGACATTTCATGTTTAGTTCTTATGGTATAATGCCGTCGAGATGTATTGAAAGAATAAAATAATCTTACGAGGAATTGAAGGGATTAAGATATTCAGGATATAGTGATGACAGAATAATGATTAGAAACAATTGTTTAATGAACAATGTCGGCTTGTGTACTAGACGAGATGACCGACCTCGAGCTCAATTATATTACGCAAAAATATGTCATGGTGGGAGAGAGATGCTGGGCGGATGGTTTGGTTAGTTACTTTATACTAATTGTCCGTTACAAATGTCGATAATAGAATATTTGTTTTGGCGACGGATGACTACATACAAAGTTCCATTATTCTTCAAGCTGTTGCGTCATGAACTGACCTCTCTAGTTCTAGTAGATTAGAATCAATAAATGTCTTTTTCAAGTACACCTGGAAAATATTGATTTTGTCGCTGACTAAAATTAAAAGAAAGTTGTGCGTAGTGGACGTAAAAATACGATAATTTGAAATAAAGAACTAACTATATGAAATATTTTATATTTCTAGTAGATTAGATTCGCTACCGTGTGGATTGATTGTCTTTTTTATGTATTTTGCAAGTGATCTGTGCTTATTGTTTTTGTATCTAGCACACTAGCATATCATATTAAATAACTAGTCTCAAAATAAACATCAAAAACAGAATTAACATTTCTTTGTAAGGGCAATCCTACAAAAGGGCAACAGTAGAAGAATAATAATAATAATGCCTACTCTGCCTTAGAACAGGTCCGTGAGCTGAGTTAAACCTCAACTCGAATTAGGGAAGAATAGTGTGATTTGCTATTGTCATTTCACACCGCGGTGCCCGAAATGGGCTATTTACAGTTGAAAACAAATTTTTGCTTTATATTTTCAAGTAGAAATTGATATCACTACTACATGATACAAAGTTGTCCAGAGCGGAAGTTTGAACTCATAACCCTGGCTACACAAGATAGTGAGCTTAACTGTTAAGCCATGGAAAACCCATCAACCAAAAGAATAATAATATATAATGTATAGGGTAGAGCGGGGCACAGAAGTCCAATTTGACTCTGAGCAATTACATTATGAAAACCAAACCAATTACAGATCAAAAAAGTCACATATCAAACAAACAATTATCTGACTATATTTAGTAAAACTCCTAGCTTCATCAATATAGAAATATGTTTTTTGCTGTTTTTCAAAAATTTATCACCAGGTCGTTTTTGCCCCATAGGCAGGTAAAATGGGACATCCAGAAGACAAACAGTTTCTATGTCTCATTTTTAATTTTGAAGAGATTTCACGTGATAATAGCTTCATTATTCAACCCATGCAAAATATAAATTTCATAAAAACATTTTTTGTAGGGATAAAAAATGCTGTAAAACATCATCATCTGTACATCATCACATACAAGAGTTTAAAGAAAAATGTGGTCTCTAAAAAAATTAAGCTACGGTCAGAAATTAAGTCTAATTTCTGAGAAGCCTAACTACCAAGCAAATTAATATGCGATTCTGGTTAACTTGCGCGCTACACTACAAAGTGAGTCTTTTCACGCTACTTCTGCCTGATAACCAGTCAAAATGAAAGCTTGTTCGATAGACGATTGAAATCTGTTCATAGCCCATGATGTCAGGGCTCATCATTTCGTGAACCACATTCAACCCATTCTACCATCTATGAGAGAGGGATGTACCCGCAATAGTATTACCGAAACACGCAATGTCGTGGTCTAAAGGTTGCAGAGAAACCGAGTTCAAGAGTGTGGGTTAGTAGTTTTCCTTTGGTTGCAATTCATAGATACTTAAATAAACGATGCTCAGATATTTTATTTATTTTTTCTGCATGTAACACTATTGTTTATTTTACCGTGATAATGGCTACATCGCTCAAAGTAGACGATGACCGCGAATTACGTGTCTATAAGCGAATTACGTGTCGACAAATGCGGAAGGACGAATAATATAATTGAAAAAAAATAATAGTAATACCGATACAGACTTTTCTGAAAAGTTTAGGAAAATTTCCTTCTTGCATGTTTTTATAATTAAGCACGTGTAGTAGAAATTATTTGAAATTGTAAACTTGAACTAAGTTATTTTAAAGAAACTAAAACTTTAACGTGTCGGAATGATAATATCAAATTTTAGTTAAAGTAGTTTTGTTTAGAATTAAGTGTATCATTAGACATGCAAAACATAACATTTTGTTTAGGTAAAAGTATGAATTACGTAATTGCTATAAAAGAGACAAATGTCGTAGTGGTTGACTAAATGTGATTTTACACGCGCGCTACTCACACATTGTAGCAAATATATACAAAAGTTACTTTATTTCTATATGCCACTAAATATAATATATTACTGACATGTTTACTCATATGTATAGTCACTTCATAAATATTCTCCGCGCTTTCTTATGTTAAAATAAAATATAATCAATGTACCTTTTAATATCATGATAAACGTTTATCGAGCGAGTTAGACCGTAATAGTAATTCAATAAAAGCAATAGATATACATAATATATTAGTGCCTAAAAAACATAAGGTTAGACCTTATATTTTAAAATTAAGCAATATAAACACAAAGACTTTAATTTGATATATTATAATTTAAAACACGCTTATTTCTCGATATCATTATTACTATTATTTGCTTATTGTTTTGTGAATGGTAAAGCAAGTTTTTCAAATGAAAAGACAAAATTAGATGAATATATTAATTTAAACCATTCCAATAAAACGCTTATCTGAATGGTTAAAAGTTAACATGATTAGTTACAATTTATAGAGAAAAAATAGTAAAAATAATCTTTGAGGAATGTTTGGATATTATAACAAATCTCATTTATTAGTTATTCTTAAATAAATATGGCAAAAAATATTTACTTCTCCTTTTACGAAAAATATTTTTTTCTCCCGTATGTCAATAGACTCTAAACATAAAATGCAATAAATTCAACTCAAAATAATACGGAATAAAATAGTAGGGAAACTAGGGGCTATCTGTAAAAGGGGTAATTAGTAACAGAAACTTTTTGATAGAATCCTAATTAAAATATATTTTTGTCTCTATGGGACAAGTTAATAGTCCTGCATAATATTGTCATAGCTACTGTCCCGCAGGCCGATACAATAAACAAAACTGTACTAATCCGTCATTTTTGACATGTACCTAATATAAAATTATACTATCATAAAATACCAGTTTGCGTTTTTTACCGACTAATTTTAAATTTTATATATCAAAATTTGCTCAAAATTAAATTAAAGGTGTAATAATTTTTGTTATTGCTAAATTGTATAAATATTCTTAGTACTAGTTGTACCATACAAATATCATATACAGATTCAAGTGAAAACTATTGAATGGAATATATAGTTTGTAAGATGTGAGCACTTGTAAATTGTATTACAGGAGACATTATATTTTTTATTTATATTATGATATTAATTGTAGTTTACGTTGATCTATGATAAAAATTTATACTACATGTGACATTATATATTTTATTTGTAACTTGTAATTTGGCACAACTAGTGCGAAATTTTCAAAAAAACGAATTTTAAATTTTTTCATATTTTGATAGATTATACCTTTAAAAATAACATACCACAATTTTAAATCGATATTTTAAATAGTTCTTGAGTTACAGCCATTTAAAGTGTATATATATATATAGTATATAGTAATATATAACGATCATTTAATCTTTAAACGCGTTTTTCTCGAAACAGCATTTTCCGAATCACTATCAATTTTTTTTACATATTCTATATATATAGTTCTTCGTGAAATAAACTATCGATTTTTTGATCGGATCAAAAATCGAATTATGGCAGTCCAAAAACGACCAAAATTTCTTGGCAGCAGTGAAGGGCCTTTTTTTTTTGTCGCGCCGTTGGAGATCGACGATAACTTAAAAAATATTTAATTTTTTTCTTCAAAAATTTTACTATGTATTTTTAAAACATGTATAAATATATTCCAAATTGAATTGAAATAATTGATAAAGTAGTTTTTTTAATATAAATTCCCAAAAATCACCTTTTTTTAGGCGGTTACACTAGTTGTGCCCTTAATTATAGATTGTCTTGATGCATGAAAAAAATTACTTAAAATCAAGCAATATTTTTTTCAAAACAAGTAGAGAATAAATTATCAGAAGCATTATTGTCGTTTTTTTGTCGTTATTACTTGCTGCGATAGCTTCAAACACGAGGTAAGTTGTAAAACCGCACTATTTCTATAAATTAATTTACTGTGAAATAATAAACAACATTTTTGGATATATTTTTAGTTGACTCTGTAGAGGAATAGTTACAGCAACTATCCATCTTTATTTCGTAGAATTATAAGCAGTGGATTTAAAGATATAATAATTTAAAAAAAAAAAGATACAATAAGCTCCTAGCCACCCTATGTATAAGAATAATACAAATCTGATTGATTTATTAAGTACTTAATTACTCATTAAGTAATATAATTCGTCAAGAATTAATAATTTAATATGGCTAAGACGTTCAGATATATTTCATTTGTAATCATCAAATATATTGGAAAAAGTAGAAAATACTTATGAAACCTAAATTTTGACAATTGTTAGCCATTTCTCTACCGCTTAACTTGTTTTTCTTCGATTTCCTAAACGTTAACTGACATACGCCATATAAAAGAGAATACGTATTGTTTTGTGACTCACTTTTCTTCTCAGCGGTGGGCGGTGGGGTGTCGGGCGTTTTGAGCGAAGCGCGTGGCTTCGCCGAACTACGGCTGCTAGCCGGCTTAGAGAATGGAGTGGCGCTCTGGGGTCGTGAGTTTCCACTCGCGCTGGTCGGACTTTTCACCGGCGAGCCCATAGCGCCGTTCACGTCCTGAAATTAAAAGTAATGTCCTGTCAACAAAATGTTATTAGGCGGAATACGACGTTATTTAGAATGCTAAGAATTTATATTATTATGAAAATAACGCGAAATATTTTTTTTCAAACAGGACAACGACAAAAGTCATAAAAACTATTATAAGGTAATGTGCATAACCAATATATCAAAACCGAGAAAAGTTAATTTTTTTTATGAACAATATTTGAAAGTAGAAGGAAGAAGATGTATAACTAGCTATCACCTTGAATCTTATTAGGTCGCTATCGGCAATGTTTGAATATCCATAACAAAAATATTTTCTTTCATTCGTTAGCTTTTTTGGTTGTGAGCACTTTTGTTTAGTTTACGAGACCTCAATATAAATTTTTGTGTGTACATTATTTAATTGTTTTATAAGATATACTGTTAATTTTAAGTTAGTTTCAACAGTTGTTTTTATATAACCTCTATAAAAGCTTACACGTGGGTGGGGTAAAAAATAAACAACTGAACTTTTACACTAGCAAAGATGTAAACAATATAAAATACTAAATAAAAAACTAAATCAAGTTAAAAAAAGCTATTTTACAAGAGATAAATTAAATAAATAGTTATTCCAACTCTGCTAATAAATATTTCTGACAAAATACAAGATAAATGTTCAAATGTAAATGTAAAAATGTGCCAATGAAATTTTTATTTCGAAGTGGTTAAATATTTTAGCTATTATATCATAAAATTCTTTTAAAAATAAAATTAAGATATTGGATTGTTTGTCCCCTGGTCGTCCCGTTTTACCCCGAATGTGGGTTAAAAAAAGCCCATCTGACAAATTTTTGAAAAACACATTTCTACAAATATGAATTAGCTGAAAGTTGTATTGAACTTATAATCAGATAAATGTTTGTTTGATATGTGTTATTAGTTGTGATATAATTGGTTCAGTTTTCTCAATATAATTGTTCAAGGTCAAATTGGACCTTTGTGCCCCGCCATATCCTATGTGAAAAATCATTATCAATTTATTATTTTAAAATTTATGTAAATCGATGCTTCAGTTTATTTATGATTCATTACCAAAACGAAAATGCGCCTTTATGAGAGTTGCACCTTTTACAAAGAGCTGAATTCATTCAAACATGTCATATGATAATGTACCACTAATTGGATCTAGTAGGCTAAAATGTATATTGGATTTAACAAAGCCTATAAGTCGTGGTAATGCAATTCTAACTTATCATATAACATGTACAAATGTATTCTTTAATCACTAAATCCTTTAACTAAAAACGCTGCAATAACACATCGTCGTGATACTTATTGTTAGTGAATTCAAATTTTTAATGCATTTATTGTAACTGATATTTGCGGAAGCTATTTCCATTACCTTTGAAAGTAAAAAAAATGGTGCAACCTGCCTTTCACAATGCATGTCATTATAATTATCGCATTTGCATTTTGAATACAATATATAATGAAAAAGTTTCAGGATAAAAACGAAAAATGTTATTCAGTTAATAATTTCAGTAAATTGCTTAAAGTTAGAGCATTGTATTTTAACGACATATCAGTCACGCTTCGAATAATTTTATAAGACTACTTTTATCGTCTATTGTGCCTATTGACCTGTAGTAAAGAATAGTTCAAGGAAAATCATTTACATATTTCAACTTATCGTTAGATACTCTCTGAATGATTTTATGGATCCTTTTCAATATTTTAATTTGTATTTTTTTTAGTAAAAAAAACACGAACTTGAAAATGAAAATTTCTCACCTTTCGTTGCGAATGATTTTATAGACCCTTTTCAATATTTTAATTTGTATTTTTTTAGTAAAAAAAACATGAACTTGAAAATGAAAATTTCTCACCTTTCGTTGCGTAGATTCGTCAACACCGCTATCATCATCAACATCTAAAATTAAAAAAATGTTATAATTTGTATTATGTATTATATTGAGCAGTATAATACTATTCGATTACCTGTAGGTGTAACAACTTTTTTTCCGGATTGAGGTTTAGATGAAGCAGGTCTAGAAGTAGAGGATTTAGCGTTTGGCATTCCGTTGGTTGCATGACCAGCTGCAGAATCTGGTCTTACTGTTTCATTGGATAAAGTAGCTGGCTTTGTTGGTGGTTTACTACCTGGTTCGGGTGTTTTTGTTGGTGGTTCTGGTGTTTTTGTCGACTCGAGTGGTTCTGGAGTTTTAGTAGGTACTTCTGGAGTTTTATTGGTCGATTCTGGTAATTTATACTCTTGCCCCGGTAATGGTGATTCAGCGATGGGCTTTTGATTTGGCATGACTTCTTCATCGTCAGTCCTCACGGCCGAAGCGGGTGCGTTTGCTACCGGGGATTCAGACATTGGTGAGCGCTCCATACTTCGAGAAAACTGTTGCACTGGCGAAGAAGGCTGAGAGCCCTGAGTCGGACTGAATTGATAGAAACCGCCACGTGTGGGGCTCTGCGGTTGTTGATGCGGTGATCCGCCGGCGTTAAAATGCGCCGGAGGAGGACGACGCAAAGGTTGCTGTTGCTGCGCTCCCGGAATTGGACTGCCCGGCTGACCGGGCTGAGGTTGACGGAAAAGCGGCCGTGTGGCGACGTAGCCCACGGCACGCGGCGGCGGTGGTCGCTGTTGCTGAAATTGTTGTTGTGGCAATTGTGGGTGATACTGCTGTTGATTTGGTTGTTGATTAGGATTGAACTGTTGCTGCTGCGGAGCCGGTCCCCGCGGTTGAAACGGCAACGGGCTACTGTTCTGATACGGATGTGGCTGTGGTCCCGCGCCTGGCGGTCCAGGAGGACCAGGTGGACGTGTTTGCAATGGACGTGGTGCACCTTGCTGTTGCGGCACTCGTGGCACGAAGTTCTGATTCTGCAGCTGGGGCGGTACTTGATGCGGTAAGCGAACCGAACTCGGAACAGTTCTCACCTAATGTGTGTCAAAGCAAGTTTTAAATAGGAAAATTATTATTAACTTATATAAAAAGTAAACGACACAAAACTAAAATATAGGAGGTATTAAATTATATTATTCTTATCATAACAAGGACTGACGCTTGCAAACTAATAACTTTCGTAAGTTTACTATTAGAATATTATTGTATTCTCAGAATGATATCATAACTAGCACGATAACTTCTCAAACATCAATCTATTTCAAGTATAGATACATTAAAAGATTTTATAAAAGCTCGCATAAAATTTTCATAACGAACGCTTGTTACTCAAATGTACTGTTTAGTTCGTGATGCGTAAATATATATATGTTGAACTTACTGTTCATCATTGATTTACATATCTATTAAAGAAATTCACATGGATAATAAAGATAGCGTTGTAGGCGTTTTGCGATATCGGGAGCATATGACTGTGATACATGAAACAATGACGTTGTCACGTTTCAGTAGTCATAGTCCTTGACTCACAAATCAGCATTATTAAGAATCTATATCACCGCTCGTTCGATAATAATCCTTCATGTGACATAATTCAGCTTCCTCTTACCCCTTCTCCGTAACCCGATACGTCAGGCGGGGGTGTCCACACTGGTGAATCATTTTGAGTATTCATATCGATATTCTTCTAACTACTAATCTTCTTTATCTGCATTGCAAATAATTTCACAGATTATATTAAACTATTTCGATATCAGTATGTTCATTGTACTTGATTTCTAATACGTGATCCATTTACTTTTGCATCTACCTATATACTTGTGTTACCGCATAGGTACTGGTGGTGCTTCATACGCGACATTTGGTTTCTGCAGAAACTTCATTCTCTTATTGCTATCATAAGCAATTGCAATAAGCCGGTAAATATTATTTAATGCACATATCGTACATTTCATCATACAATAAATAATGTGTTTGCATTCATTACTCTATGAGCAATGATTTAATACAAATACATAAATACAATACGGTGCTCATATGATAAATTTACTTTTTTTAAATACCTAATATAGGTGATCTACTCAGAAATGCAATACCATAATCAATAATAAATGATATATATATATATATATATATATATATATATGTATATATATGAATGTAAGTTTGTAGCAAACGGAAACTTATATCTATATATAGTTTATATGAAGTGTTTATTATATCCGGGTCAGAAAATCGATGCGAAAGCAAAGCTTCTCCAAAATATGTCGCCAGGAAAAAATATTTATTACCGTAAAATTTCGATACTTATTTTCACGTTTAGTTTTGTGAATTTTAATTAATATAAAGTTAGTTTTAAGACATTGGCATTCATATCTAAAAACATTAAAAATCGTATGCTCATTCTATTACACAAACACGTCCAATTCGCACGATATAAAACAGAAATCAATTTAATTTCCCATCAAATTGTTTCGGTGCTAAAACCCAGAATGTAGCATTAATTTATGTTCTGTTTATCAAAAAGCATCATAATTTGTCGGCTTATCGCGTATGATCAGTAAATAAACCGCTATCGCAGAATCTAGCGGAATGAAATAAGTTCACAACTCAGCCGTATCGCCTCATCAATCTGCACACGTTGGAAAAAGTTTCGTGAATCATTCGAAAATAATGCTATAAGTGCTTGCAAATATAAATATCTAGGCCCTAATAGGAAAACAGCGGCTACGAGCCAGCTCGGCCTAATAACCGTGCTCGCGTAATGCAATCTAACAAGTGGCACCGCACTGTGGTAAACACGAGCGATGCAATTGCATGGGGCAAATGTGATGAATATGTTCCCCGGTCTCGACACCACCCTCAACTAGCAGGGGTGTTAGAATTATGATGAATTGCATCGTAAACCACATACTCTCTATCTACTATATCCCATTATTGTAATGCTTGAATTGTTAACATCGAATATTTCTTAATTTTGATAATGAAAAAAGAACTAATGGTGCATGGCATCGTGCCTTGAGGGAAACTCCCAGTAATTTAAAATTGTTAAATTTTTTGAAATATATTTTTTTTAAATTTTTAAATTCTATGAAAATTTGAAATTTTCTTTTAAAGCGATCGCGTTGCGTACCTGTTTTAGAGACAAAATGTCGAAGTGCCTAAGTGCCGCGTCGCAATTACGGAATTTAAAAAAATTGCATACTTATTATCAAATTTTTTATAAACTACCAGATAGTTTGATGTGTTTATGTCTAATAACAAGGTGACCATTTTTTTAAGTCAAAACCGGGACGGCAATTTTTAGATATGCTAAGCAGCGAGGGGTGGGGGGTGTCGGGTTTTTATGTGAATATATATTTTTTAATCAGAATTGCGGACATTTAGTAAAAACTTTATTATTCAATTTTATGTAATATACTTTTATCTATATTTTATCTCTCGCTTTATTTTATGTTTTTTTCGCTTTTGAGCCTTTATTCAATTTTCTTTCAATAATTTGAAAAAAAAATAGCACCTTTTTGTTTATTTGTTTATTTATAAATATGTTTGTTTGTATAAATTTTTGTTAATTTACCTATTGGTTTTCAAAAAAATCGGGACGATCCGGGGCAAAAGATCTAAATCCGGGACAAATATTGATTTTAGAAAAAAACGGGACACATGATGAAAATCCGGGCCAAACCGGGACGTATGATCACCTTACTAATAATCATTTTTGACCTCAGAATGTCATTTTTTTTAAACTTTATTTGTTAGATTTCTGAAACCGCTGAACCTGCCTTGCCAAAAATTCTTCAATCCATCCATAGAAGTAAAATGTTTTTAATTTCAATTCAATCATTTTTTTCTAAGGTATACCAAAAATCTTCAGAAATCTAAGATGAGAAAAAAAATCATATCTTAGATTTATAACTTATTACCATACGGGAAGTTGACTATCCTTATATCAATTTTTGTTCTACATTTTCAACAATTAATTCGTACTTAATAGAGTTGTCAAGACCGTGTGAATTGAAATCTTTTGAGTTCACCATGTTTCCATTAATGGAAACTTTCATTAACTAATTAAAAGTGTCTAAAAACCTCTTATAACATCTGAAACGAAGCAATTACTTATGGGTATTGTCTGTAAATGATTTGAAAAAGATCAAATATATTTTGACGACTTTAACATCAATTAATTTTAAATATATCGACTATTTAAGACTAACATTTTTAGACTTTTTTTTTTCTTTGAAACGTAGGATTTAGATGCATCTCAAACATCATCCTTTAGTTGAAAAACAGGTACATATAAGATACTTACATGGATTAGATATAGTTCGACCACAAATTTGAATAAACAAATTGAACAACACTTATTTAAATTCGCAAAATCACTAATATTGTATAAGTCAAATTAATTTATTAAATAATGCTATTATTACTATATTATTATTTTCAACAGTTTCTTAGAATATTATTATGGTTTATTTCGAAAGATTTAGATGATAAAAAATATGCTTAGATTTAGTCATATATCAGGAAAGAATACACACGGTTAGACAGACAGTCTGAGTCTTCCACCCAATTACTTAATTTCTGTAATTGCATTTCTACGTCTAGACATCCATTAAACCTATTGTTTTCAATTATGTTCGCTCATTTTAAGTAAAAAATGATATTTTATTATAGGAAATGAACTCGTCATTATATCTGCCCACACTATTATTTTAGAAACGTTATTTCAAATTCAGCTATAATACTTTTCACAGCTAGTGGAGTAGAGAACAAAATAAATATAAGTATTCAAAATAATAATAAAATAGAAGTTTCAAATAAAATTTGTTATTGATTTAAAGTGTTTTTCATTGTACAACTCAATTTCATTTTACAGAGATATGGCATTATAATGTATGGTAATCATTATAATTTTGTAATTTTCGTAAAATGACGACATTAGCAAAATTTTGTAAGAGCAAATAATGCATGATACTATATTATAATTTTGTAACTTTCGTATTATGCTCTAGAATTTAGATAAAGTAGAGAATTATGTGCTTGATTGATTAGATCTATTTAGTACTATTTTATAAACAACGATTGTATTTTAATAAAATTTATCCAAATACATTTTTCTAAGACTACTGTTTATTTTTACTATTTTATTATATTCAGTTTGTAAAGAATTTGTTTATTTCTTGAATTCAGCTTGAAATTATCTTGAATATCTGCTTTTAGGCTAAAATGTTCATTTTTCATACAAGTTTTTTTTCCTACATTTTTCAAAGTTATTTTGCATTACATTTTTGGTGTCAATAAACCAAACCAAAAGTAGTACAAAAAATACAATTTTCACAACAAGAACATATTTAGTTAATACATAATCATTAAGATTCATTTTCAATTTCTAGTAAAAAACTTGTAGTAAATTCGCGTTTAATAAAATTAAAAACAAGTAATTTTAAATTTAATCCTTTACATCGTAAACGTATGTTCATTAATGGGTGTTTATTCAGTTTAGTCCTGGCTCTCACCTAGGATTACTTACACTAGATCTAGGCCACTGATTTTTCTCCCCGCGCGGGTCAATAAATATTTAGAGCGCCGTAGCGCGACCATGCGACGTTCACTAATTACGCATAACATGTAAAATTCAGGAAAAGTTTCTACGTTTCTTCCTTTAATATATCACGAACATTGGCTTAATATCAAAACAACAATAACTACATAACAACCAGTTGATCGACTATTGTTAATTTTGAATATTTGTTCATATAGTTGATATAACCCATGTGTACCCATTTGACAATATTCAAACAAATTTGTAAAATCCAATATCAAAAAAAGAAAGTGTATTTTTATTTAAAAATAGATAAAATATGAGTGATTTGTTTTTTATTGACAAGCAATTAGTTTTAGTATATATACTACAATTATAATTGTAATTTCGGTGTAATTTACTTTTATTTTTGCTTATTGATAATTAGAACACACGATGCAATAAATAATTTAATCAATATAAAAATATTCAGTTTGTGTGATTATCGAGACTGCTTTTGTACTTGCCTGATTATGAGTCTTGAATGATTATTTCCACTGAGAGGAAATACCAGGACTTGATTAAAACGAAAGTATTATAATTTTGTGTTTTTGAAGCCTAATTTTATTTTCTAAAATTATACTCGTTGTAAAGTGGGGCTCAACGGTCCGCGAGTAAAAAGGTCCACCAACGATATCTCAAAAACAAGTAATGTTAAGAATTTTTTAGCAACGATATTTAAAAGTAAAGGGAAAAAGATATATAACCCAGCCATCACCTTGATTCTTACGACATTGCTATCGGGAGATAAACGGCAATGTTTGAAAAATCATAAAAAATGTTTGGTTGCGAGCACTGTTGTTTAGTTTACGAGACCTTAATATAATTTTTTAGTATACGTTATTTAATTGTTTGATGTATTGTTAATTTTAAGTTGGATTCAACAGTTTTTTTATTTAACCTCTATAAAGTCTTACACGTGGGTGAGGTAAAAAGGACCAATGAACCTTTACCATAACAAAGCAGTAAACAATAGAAAGTATTAAATAAATAATAAAGTAGGTTTAAAATAGCAATTTCACGAGAGGTAAATTAAATAAATAGTCATTCAAATTCCGCTGATAAATATTTCTAACAAAATACCAGATCAA